CAAGAGCACACACACACAACAAGAGCACACACACACACAACAAGAACACACACACACTGCATGAACACGCACAACAAGAACACACGCACACTGCAGGAACACACACAACAAGAACACACACACACAACAAGAACACACACACACAACAAGAGCACACACACACTGCAGGAACACGCACAACAAGAACACACAACAAGAACACACACACAAAACAAGAACACACAACAAGCACACACACACTGTGACTGAAGGTGTTTTTTTGCATCTGGTGAGCGTAGCTCTTTAAAAGCCGTCTCAAACAGGTTTACCCGTGTGCAGCGCGCCCACCTGCTGTGTGGCCCCACCGCTCCGTTATAAATTACATCTGGACCGAAGATCTACTCCTGTTTTTCTTCAGCCAACGCAGAGAACACTGCTTCTAAGAAAAGACCAACAGAAGACAAGAAGAGAGAAAATGACTTCTGTTAAGAAATCGAAGACCGTCCGTCTGCCCGGTGTGTCAGACGAGCGACCGTATCTTCCACCGTTTAAGTCGCATCTTTTATGAATCATGGCTGACGCGTCGTGTATGTTACGCGCTGACAACCTGGAAATGTGGACTGGTGTTGTGCCAGAAATTGATGGGCTGCCAAAAGGTGGCCACAGGAGCGTGCACGGGAGGACTTTAACAAGATTTACACACAAACACAATTATTTGTGGCTCATAATTATATTAAAGGTGTGTCTCAGTTGATCTAACAGATCAAAATGAAGCCGACAAAATGAAACGGCTTTAACATGACTACACACCCACCCGTCCGTAATGACAGAAACACCTATTTTTTTTAAAATTTTTATTCAAACCCGTTGAATTCTTCATCCTCTGTGTCGCTGGCGAAGAATTCTGCCAACTCCTGAGGTAGGTGACGCAGCGCTGCCTCCTCCTCCTCCTCCGCGTCGGCTCCAGCTAACATCCCGACCTTTCTGAACCCCGACTGGATCGTTTCTTTGGTGACTGAGGTCCACGCTTTATCGATCCAGTCGAGGACCTGCTGGAACGTTGCGTGGTGCATCCATCCCGTAGCCGTGAAACTGTGCTCTCCGGCCACCATCCACTGTTCCCAAAGGCGGCGCACAGCTGCTTTGAAGCTCTGGTTCACAGAAATGTCCAGAGGCTGCAGCACTTTTGTCAAGCCTCCCGGGATGATGGCAGGGATGGAGTTGCACGCTTTAATTTTATCTTTAAATTGCGGTGTAATGTGCGCACGCATGCTGTCCATCACCAGCAGGGCTTTTTTTGCTCTAAAAAATCCATCTGGCTGCTTCGTGTAGCACTTTGTGAGCCACACGTTCATCTGTCTGTGTCCCCCCCCCCCCCTTCTTGTTGACTGTCACAACCACGGGCGGGGGAAACTCCTCCTTCGGCATGGTTTTACGCTTAAAAATCACCATGGGCGGCAGCTTTGATCCGTCCGCACAGCATGCCAGCACCACAGTGAAGTGGGACTTTTCGTGACCCGTGGTGAGGATGGTCACACTTTTTTCCCCTTTCTGCGCCACACTCCGTCCCATTGGAATATCAAAGGTTAATGGAACTTCGTCCATATTAATAATGTGGTCAGGCGAGATGCTGTGCTCCTGCACCTGCCTGTCCACAAAGGCGCGGAAACGCCACCTTTTCCGTAAAATCAGCCAGCAGCTTTTGGCACATGGAGGTCCGCGCTCTGATGGAGAGACTGTTCTGGCGCATGAACCTGAAACACCACGACGGTCCACCCGCAAACTCTGATGTCCAGCTCCTTGGTAACCACCATGGCGTGGAGACACAGCCGCACCGTCGACAGCCCTCTGCCAGAAGCTCGCTCCTCCAGCACCCACGTCTTCACCTTTTCCTCGAGAGCTGGTCACCTTGCCTTACTCCCGGGGTTCGCCCTGTTCGACCAGGGCCCTCTATTGAAAATGGTACTGCACGTTTTAAATTTTTTCTCAGTCGGAATGAATGGAAACGGTCATATCTCAGCCAAAAATTGGTTTATAAATATGGGGGAAAATCCATAAATATGTCACTTCGCCGTATAAGTTGCAGGGCATGCAAATTAGGCAAGAAACTGCAACTTCTAAAACGAAAAATATGGTACATCCTATTGTCGGACCTGCACGTCATGAGTGAAAGCTGCCTGGGAGCTGACCACGCTCTGTAAACTTTGGATCCACTCTTCTCCTGTTCAGCCTGTAAACTTTTTTCGGCTAAGGAGAAGCGGCGCCAATGTGAGCTCTTTTCCTCTGCAGAGGACGAGTTTCAACCAAGGGGGGACTGTTCGCTCGAAGAATTTTTGAACTCCTTGGACTCAGAGTTCACAAACATGTCCCCCTCTGAAGCTGAAACGGCTAGCAACAGCGTTCCATCCTGCCTTACAGGAGGTTTGGAGTCGGTGTTGCCTTAGATGGTCTCTTCTCTGAGCGCCCAGGGATCGACCACCACACTGCTTCACCAGCTCCTGGGTATAATCAGGAGGTCGGCAAGAGCCTGCAACCTGGAAGTGCCCAAACCGGCGACCCCGGCCACGTCGACCCTTTTGGCGGTAAGGTTTGCCGCCCAGTGCATTGGACACTGGGACCTGGTCTGGCCCTGTTTCTCGGCTGTGTCCGCCCTCCTCCTGGGTTCAGCCAACGATCCCTTAAAGTTGAGGGCTCGGTCGCCTCCTACGCGGCCATCGCCAAAGTCAAAGGGCTCACGGACCAGGGCTTTCCCACCGTCCCACCCCGCCATCCCGGCGTATCACCCCACCATCCTCCGGTGACCAGTTCACCGCGAAGCTGACAGAGTCCATCATTGCTTGTCGCAGGTGGGATCAGCAACCAACAACATCGCTATGTTAGCCCTTAGCATAGCTAAGGAGGCGAAGGAACCAAACCCGTTCTCCGCAGATCTGGACCAGATCGGCACGGCTGCAGACACGATCACCAACCTGTGTGCGGTGCTTGCAGCGTGCTCCGCCCACATCTCGTCCTGGGGAACGTTGCTACAGAAAGAGATGTGGTTGAATCTGTCCCAGTCCATCCCAGATGACGTTAAAAAGGAACTCCTGGAAGATCCTGCCCCCCCCCATCAGCAAAAATTATGGATGAGACGAGCACCCCGCCATGGCAAGCTAACTAGGGGAAACACAGCTGTCCTGTCAGAACGGAGGAGGGAATCCCTGACGTCATTGCTTCAGTTTGTCCGGTCCCTCAGAACAGTAACGGCACTGACAGTCATGAGACTGTTAGGAATGATGTCAGCGGCGCACGTTGTGCCACTGGGGTTATTTGTGCGCCGCCTGCAAAGATGGTTCAATCGACTGAAAGTCGACCCTGTACGTCACAAACGGCGCCTGATAACTGTTCTCCCATCTGTGGGAGCAGATCTGAACCAGTGGGATAATTCCCTGAACCTGTCAGAGGGAGTACTCCTAGGCAAAGTGACGTCGTTAATGTCGGTGTTCACAGACGCGCCCCTCTCCGGCTGGGGAGGGACCTGCCTGTCACAAACGATAGGAGGTGCGTGGTCGGCCGGCACATTACCTAAATGTTTTAGAACTTCTCACAGTAAAAAAGTACTCAGACATTTTGCACCACTGGTTCAGGATCATCACGTGATGATCCACACAAGACAACAGAATCGCAGCGGCGTACATAAACCACCAGGAGGACGTGCGTTCAGCTCGGGAACTGCTCTGCTGGGCGCACACACACTTGTGTTCGATCAGAGCAGTTTACATCCCAGGCGTTCTAAACAGAGGAGCAGATATTATGTTGAGAGGAGGCCCTCTGGACAGGGATTGGTCTCTTCATCCAGATCTAATCTCGCAAATCTGGAGCAGGTTTAGGAGAGCGGAGGTGGACCTGATGGCCACCTGGGAGAACTCTGTGCGCCATGTTCTTCTCCCTAAATCCACAGGATGCTCCACTACTGTGGGTGAATGTGTTTGCACACAAACCACAGCCAAATATGATTTATGCCTTCCCTCCAGTTCCCCTGATATCAGCACTGATGGAGAGGGTGAGAGAGGAGAATCTGAAAATGATTCTGATCGTCCCACAACACATGAACGCCTTGTGGTTCCTGGTTCTGCAACAGCTGATGGGTCAACCATGGAAGTTGCCGTGGAGAGAGGATGCGCTCCTACAGGCGGGAGGAGCAATCAGGAGCCCCCCTATAATAGGTCAGCCCCTTTGGGTCTGGCCGCTGAACGAGAACGCTTGGAAAAATTTGGGTTTTCTAAAGACGTAATATGTACCATCCAGGGGGCATGCACAAAATCCACTACGGCTGGTTACGCTTCTAAATGAGCTGCTTTTCAGCGATGGTGCCTAGAAAAGGAGGTGGACCTGACATCATGTTCCCTGGGCTACATTTTGTCCTACCTGCTGCTGCTGTTGGACAGATATTGAGCTTTCAGCACAATTAAAACTTATGCTGCAGCACTCTCCTCCTGTCATGAAGGTTTCAACGATAGAACTGTTTTCAATCACCCTTTAACAAAACGGTTTCTGAAAGGTGTGCGCCGGCTCAGGCCAGTGACACGCACCGTGGCACCACAGTGGGTTTTAGTCTTCGTTCTCAGTGCACTCACTAAAAATCAGTTCGAGCCTCTGGACCAGATACCCTTGAAGTATCTGTCGCTCAAAACAGCCTTGTTATTAGCTCTGACATCAGCTCAAAGAGTGAGCGACTTGTCGGATCTGTTTGTCGGATTCTTGTCTCGGTATTCAAGGAGACGGGAGTTCAGCAGAACTCTGACCAAACCCTGATTTTATACCCAAAAGCATACCAAGTTTGTTCAGGTCCAGAGTCGTTACACTGGACGGGTTCTGTCCCCCTCCCCATAAAACTACGGAGGAGGAACAGTTTCACCTGCTCTGTCCAGTACGTGCACTCAGGTGTTATGTGTCACTCACAGCCGCGATGCGTAAATCCAATCAGTTGTTTGTACATTTCAGAGAACGATCACAGGGTCAGCCTTTATCTTCTCAGCGTCTGTCACATTGGTTATGTGAAGCTATATCACAAGCTTCTAGTTCTTCTGGCCTTCAGCCGCCTGAAGGACTCGGGGCTCACTCCACCAGAGGGACTTCTACCTCCACAGCTCTGCACAGAGAGGTGTCTGTGCAGGACATCTGCTCTGTGGCTTCATGGCCATCACCGACCCCTGTCATCCGGTTTTATTTACGAGATGTCTCCAGCTGTTCGCTGACACATTCAGTTCTCAGAGTGATGCCAGAGTGATTTTTCACAATCACACAACAAAAATAAATAAATAAAATAAAGTAAATAAATAAAAAAAACCAATAAAACAACACAGCCTTGCTCTGTCATTATTAGTGGATGTTTTCTATGGTTACTTGTTCAAACAGGAAATTCCTTCTTCCTCATTGGACATTTTTCCCTCCTTCTTCCTCTATTGCCTGATATGAATAAACATTCCTTGAGTTAAGGTCAGGCTCAGAGCTGCACGCCTGTCATCCAGTACGCACCAGGTGCATGGATCAATGGTGCATCATTGCGCTTGAATAAAGAATGATGTTTAGGCGGATATCTGGGTGTTTTTGATGGTTCTTGGACAGACCCAGTGAGGCATGGACCATATCCTGCTCCGCCCTTTAAACCCAATAGCGACAGCTTTTAAAGGGCCTAGCTTACATGAAATAGAACGTTGGTTACGTGTTGTAACCCCAGATTCTATGAGTGTAAGCGTAGCCCTTTAAAAACTGGACCTCACTGGCTCTCTAAAGGCTGAAGAAGAAGAGTAAGCCTTTGGGAGTCGAGCTCCGGTCCAGATGCAATTTATAACGGACCAGGTGGGGCCCACACAGCAGGTGGGTGTGGACTAGAAGTTTTCAGTGTTCGGTGCGCTGCACACGGGTAAACCCAATAGCGACAGCTTTAAAGAGCTACGCTTACACTCATAGAATCTGGGGTTACAATACGTAACCAGTGGTTTCTGTGTTTTGAAGCTGTTTCTTCGGAGTCTGCGTCTCCTCCTCATGTTCTGATGCTCCTTTTACCTCAGTGCTTCTGGAGGAGGAGACCTGGAAGCTGCAGGAGGAAATTAACAAGAAGGAGGAGCTCATCAACGAGCTGAGGGAGAGGGAGGTTGTGAGGAGAGGCCTGCAGGACGAGCTGAGGGGACGAGAGGAGGAGCTGAGGGGACGAGAGGAGGAGCTGAGAGGTCGAGAGGAGGAGCTGAGAGGACGAGAGGAGGAGCTGAGAGGACGAGAGGAGGAGCTGAGGAGACGAGAGGAGGAGCTGAGGGGACGAGAGGAGGAGCTGAAGAGGCTGGAGGATGAGGTGGAGCAACTAAAGAAAGAGAACGTGTTGTTGGAGAAGAACATTCAAACTCTGACAGGTCAGCATTGAAAGTTCAGGATTGACTGAACAAAAACTCACTTTTCTTAGATTCACAATGTTTCTCCTCCTCCTCCTCCTCCTCCTCCTCCTCCTCCTCCTCCTCCTCCTCCTCCTCCTCCTCCTCCTGCTGTAGATCTGGACAATTGTCTGACCTGCGCCTCAGTCCTTTCGTCTCTTGAGGTGGAGCAGAAAGAGACATCGCGACTGCAGAAGGAGAACAAAGCTTTGGTGAACGGGATCTTCCAGCTGCAGAAGGAGGTGCTGTTCCTCTACTACCTCATCCTTTTCTCCACAAGGACTTTTCTTACCCTTTGATTGTGTATTAAATCCCCAGGCGAGCGATCTGCAGGCGAAGCTCAATCAACAGACAGATAGGCATAACAGCCTATCAGAGCAGCTCAGCTCGTCTAAGGCCCGCCTCCTGAACCTGGAGAACCAATTGGAGGAGAAGAGTTTCTCCATGAGGAGTCTAACAGAGGAAGTAGACCATCTGAGACAGGAAGTCGAGGTTCTGTCTATTTATTTTATTTAAATAAAATTATTACAATTAGAAAATTCAAACCATCCTTCCTACTATCGCCTCTGGTTCCACGTCAGATGAGACAACTTTAAAAATTTCACTAGAACCTGATTTTTGTTTGGATTGCTTTTGTTCTGTTGAGCTCTCTGAACTTTCAAAATAATAACATAATCCAAACCATCCACATGTCTGCTAGATCCCATCCCAGCCAGACTATTTAAAGAGGTATTTCCCCTAATTAATATCTACACTTTGGATCTACTTAATTTGTCTCTAATGAATGGTTACGTGCCACAGCGCTTTAAGATTGCTGTAATTAAAACTTTACTTAAGAAGCCTGATCTTGATTCTGAAATTCTGTCCAATTACAGACTTAAATCTAATCTAATTTTCATCAAAAAAAATTTCTAGCGAAAATATCCTGATGCATGCTCAATAATCCAGGTAGAAAAATCTAAAAAAGCTAAGTCAGGTCCTCTGGACGTTCAAAAAACAAAACAACAAAACAAAGAATTGCCAGCTGGATGCTTCAGTGGGAGTGACCAGATTCTCTTCTCCACCTTTACCCGAGTTGGCTGCGGAGGAAGATATGTTGTTCTTGGCTGCCTCTGCCTCTCTCTTTAGGGGTGAGGAGGCGGCACAGTCATCTCAGGCTTTGGAGACTGGCTGACGCTCTTTGTCTCAGAGTGCAACTAGTGGGTCAGGTGACAGCACTATGCAGGACATCGTGCGTATGGCCTTGAGTTAGCTGCAGCTGGACATCCCGTAAGTGGAGGAGTCCACTCCTGGAAATGCCTTTTTCAGGCATGGATGGGCCCCTTCTCCCTTTTCTGTCCTTCTGTCAGAGGAGTACCTGAGGGAGCTGCATGCTTGTTGGCAGGACCCTAGAGCCTTTTCACACCTCCCCACAGATGATTGGATGTTGGTGACTGTGCATGAGCCGGTCAAGACGGGCTTGGATTGTATGCCAGGGGTTGAACCTGGGAGAGTGGTGGCGCAGAGGTTAGAGAGGTGGGCCTGTGATCTGAAGATCGCCAGTTCACACCCCGGCCCTGACAACATCAAAATTGTGGGTGGGGTAGGTGAAACACCCACGCTTGCCCCCACCCTCATTCGCCCCACTCTGGGCCCATGAGCAAGGCCCTTAACCCCCACCATGTGCTCCCTAAACAGGTCTCTCTTGAAAATGAGTTCTCGTGGCTCAATGAGACTAACCTGGATAAATAAAGGCTAAATGGAAAAATGAACCTGCTGTTGCCTCGCTCATTGTGTCATCAGATGAAGCTCTGCACCGTGATGTTCTGTGCACACAAGCTCAATGTCGTGTTACAGATGATTTCCTCCGTAAAGCTCATAACACCGGAGTGCATCCTAGCTGCCTTGGCAATTCCTTGGCGCACCTCATGTTTGCCCTCTCTGCCTCCCTTAGGACTCAAGCTGTGCAACTACAGCAGTTGGCTTTAGTGATGTAGCACTTCAGGCCTTTGCTCTGATGACCAGAGAGCTTGGGCTTATAATGCCCTTTCTAGTTTAGGCTCGCCGACAGGTCTGGCTGACGCAGTCTACGTTGACCGAAACATGCCGTAGGACCCTCCTAGTGTTCTTGTGGTGCCAGGGGAGTTGTTCGGTCCGGCTGCCTTGATAGCGCTAAAACGGACCGTTCAGTCACGGCAAGCTAGACAAGCAGCTTTCAGGCCTCAGCAGGGGAATTCCCCTTCCATCACCTCAGGATCCAAGGTGCCTGTCGGCTGGCCCCAGCATTCAGCCGCCGCCTCGAAGTTGTGATCAGCCTGGTGGTCCTTATCCTTGTGCTATAGGGACTTTTGTACCATACCATACCATACCACTTTATTTATAAAGCACTTAAAACAGCTACAAGGCCAACCAAAGAGCTGTACAGACAGAACAACAGGTAACACACAAAGCAAAATACAAAATGAGGTAAATCAGAATATAG